GGTTCTCAGCCTTTTCAGACTCAAAGAATCCCTTCATAACTTTTCTGACTATAGTAGCACTACACTTTTTTCCTATGTGAAAATATATGCAGCTATTCTTCTGTTGCAAAGAATTCATAAAGATGGCAACAGGTTGATATTGTGGATTTCTATTTTAAATATTTGGGTTTATTGTGTAAATCACATGTAGATGTTTGTACAGCTAACAGAGATAATATTGTGCTTCTTATTGACAAGAACAAACCTCAGCAAGTTGTACCATTGGTAGGGAAGAGCTAGGGCTAAGTCTTGAATTTTACAAATGAAGAAATGAGAGGAAGGAGAAACCTCAAAAACAACTCTTATTATTAGACAAACACAGTTTAGCTCTGCTCTTCGTTAATACTGCCTAGCACGTTACTAAGCATAGAATCCTTTGGCAAAGCAATTAAACTTTAATATCCATACTACTGCATCCAGTTATTAAATCTTTGCTGAGAAATAAGTTACTGTTTACCTCAAGTTTTTAAATAAGCATGCATTTTTATCCTTACCAAATATACCCATATTTATACTGGCCTGTTATTTCTTACTGTTAACAAAGTTAACAAATTCATTAGGTCCAGCCCAGCTTTTCTAAGAACAAACATTTAGTCTAATGATCAAATTCCTTAAAAGTAGCTAGCTCTCAGCTGTGAAAAACCATTAGTGTAAATATAGCAGCTGCCATGCAGTGTATGTCAATACAATTAACATTCAACTTTGGAAGGGTAGAAAATGTGACTTTTTCACTCAGCCTGCTCCATCTTCAGAGGAACAGTCAATCCAAATATTTGCCAACTGTGTGATACCAGTCATTTTGTACCATAAAACTGTAAAAATGGAATTGCAATCTCTCATAACCACTTTCACATATGGGCTCTTGTCAGGTTAACAAATGTCAGCACTATCAGCAGGGGTAAATCTATACCCACAAAGTTTCCCTGAAGCATAAGCTAACATGTTAAGCCATTTGCTATAGGGCTGTGTAAAGCTTTGGTCACTGATTCGATTCGGCAGAGATTCGGCCCGATTCGGCAGCCAAACCTGAATCAAATCAGAAGACCCTTTAATATCTCCGAATCAAACTGGAACCCTCTGAATCGATTCAGAGAGATTTGATGATATGGATATAGACACAGCTTTAAGTGTTTTTTCTACATACCTCAAGGTACCAGGCAGCTTGTGAACGCTGAGATGGTGGGTTGGATGAAATGTTCCATGGGAGCGAAGGGGAGTCCCCAGTGTGCTTGGTCCATTTCTGGGTCTGCCACTGTGTGAGGAACTCCCCACCCGCTGGCTCAGCAATTGGTGTCTCTTAGGTTGGGGGGGGGGGCACCCAGGATCCTGCTGTGGCCAATTGGAGGTGCAGGGAGGGAGGGGGTCCCCTGCACGCTTGGTACTTCTAGTTCACTTCTGGTTCTGCTGCCAAGCACGAGGGGAGCCCCCCCGCACTCCTGTAGGACACTCCATTCACCCCACCATCTCAGCATTCATGCTGAGATGCCTGGTACCTCGAGGTATGTAGAAAAAACATTTAAAGTTGTGTCTATGGCCGAATCACTGATTCTCCGAATTAGTAACAAATCTTCAGATTCGGATTTGGCTGAATCCAATTGGGACAGTGATCCGAATCAACAAATCGAATCACTGCCCCACAATCTGGGCCATATCTGAATCCAAATTGAATACGACTCATTTCACACCCTCTTAATTTGCTACGCTTGTTGCCAAAAACAATGTTTGCTCAATGTTAGGTACTGGGAAAAGATGCTGGAAATAATAAATTTATCTAAACCAACCAACAAAAGGTAGCAAAATCACCACAGTTCTTACCTCAACTTCTACTCTTGTGAATGGCTGGCACATAGTCATAGCACAAAGTTGTTTGCTGGGGATGCGAATAAAAAAATCTTTAAAAACATAAGTCATTTAATCTATTTTCAGCTGATTTGTAAATAATATGCTATTTTGACAACATCTCCACACCCTGCACTGGCATTTTTTGGACTTCTGCCATACAGTACTATGAAAAAGATGACCTATTTATTACTTACTCCTATTAAATTTAGTATCAAATTTTCAGTAATTATTCGTCAAGATAATTAGGGCAGAGATGTGGCAATTTTCCAGGGCCACAGAGGTGTACAGCTTACTTATGTATATATATGTACATGTATACATCCAGATGTATACACCCTGTTACTCACACACACATTCACCATTCTCTCTATAAAATGAAATTATTTTGCATCTTGGTAGCACTTGTTGGTTGTTTAAATCACAAAGTGAAGACCCCATGAACTTAAAAATATCTCAAAAGATGGAGAAAGATGATGAAATACTTTTCTGGATGACAGGATTCACTAAAACACAAATTATTTACCTTAAAATATAGGATTTACTGGCTAATGAGGCATGTCTTGTACAGCAAGTCAGACTGGATGCTAAGTTCTCCTTCTGACCTTAACCTCTATGAATGTCTCAGAAGCAAAGACTGGTAGCATGACAAACAGGAAATCTTTAGTCCTAATCTCTGCCCTAAGGTCATAGAGGATGTCAAGGTGTTTTATGTCTCCAAATTATCTCAGATGCAAAAGTGGCGCTAATGTCCCTACCAGGTGTAGAGATTTGATAGGCATTTTGTTCAACAACAGCGCCATACAAATGTTGTCATAATAAGGAAATGGCAATGCGTTTTAACATGGTATGGGAAATTGGGAAATGAGATGCAAATAACTACTTCCACATCTGACTGCAAGCATGTGCATTGTATCATTACTTTAAAGCTAAGTGAGACAGCCTTAAATAGAGAATAATAAAGTCAATTCCATCCTTGAGTGGAATTAATCCTGTTTGGGAAACCTTTTTTTTCAGGAGGATTAGAGGGACAGAGTTGGGGAGCTAAATAAAGCTCTCTCTTGAGTAAAGTGAACTACAAAAATCCACTCAAACTTTGATTTAGAGCACATAGCCCCATAATACATGGGACATAAAACAATACAAAAAACAGTAGGTGAAATTAGGATCAGGGCCAAGAGTTTTTCAGACTTGCATGGTAATACTTTGTAAAACAGCACTAGGAGCATATTGATGCTGCCTGTTACAATTAGGGGACATTAATTTAGACTTTGTGGTCCTATATCCAAACTGAGAAAGAAGGCAGACATTATTCAGAGCTTCCTATTTCATTCAAGGGTCTACTCATTTTAAACCCACCTCCACATCTGTTCTCATCTCTTCTCCTCTGCATCCTTGTCTTGCTTCCCCTTATCTTCTACTCTCAAACTCTACTTCAGCACATTCCTTATGCTTCATACAAGCTACACTGTATGACCACTTCCTTTCTCCAGGAATCCTCCCTATTTTGTCCTTTTCTTCGCTAATCCCTGCTAAATCTGATCTTTTCTCCTATTACATCTAGGGGTGAATCCTTAAGTCAGCTACAAATGTCAATATGCTGAAGGTTAAAATGACATGCAGAAAAGATTAAAATAAATACTATTCAGGAAATTGCTCATGCCTGTGGTTTTTCAATGTTGATGATCTCAAAGAGACAGGAAATAGAACAGTAAGAAATTCTTATCCAAGTCTGCTGAAGTACAACACATGTCAAAAAGGAAAATACACAAGAAAGGAAAAGTAAGGGCCTTGTTACATATTAATTTTAGGTGGCTCCTACAGCTCTTAATTAGGGCTGTGCAAAGCTTCAGTCGCTGATTCAATTTGGCATTGATTCAGCAGCTGAATTTCCGAATCCGAATTGAATCAGGAGACCCTTTAATCTCTCCGAATACAGTTGGAACCCTCTGAATTGATTTGGAGAGATTCAGAGAGATTTCATGCTTCAAACACAGCTTTAAATGTTTTTTCTACATACCTCAAAGTACAAGGCGGCTTGTGAACACTGAGATGGTAGAGCAGATAGAACGTCCCTGGGAAGCATGGGGGTCCCCAGTGCACTTGGTGGAGGACCTGGAAGGGGACCAGAAGCACTTCCAGTCCACTTCTGGGTCCACTGCAGAGTGCATGGAGGACCCTCCCACCAGTGCACCCAGGACCCCCCTGCAGCTGGTTGCTGAACCAGAGGAGTGCGGGGGTGGGGGGAAGGGGTGCTGCATGCTCAGCAGTGGAACTGGAGTGGACCAGAAGTACTTCTATGTGATGCTCTATCTGCCCCACCATGTCAGTGTTAACAACCCATGCCTGATACCTCGAGGTATGTAGAAAAAACATTTAAAGCTGTGTCTATGGCCAAATCACAGATTCTCTGAATTGGGAATCTTTGGATTCGGCCAAATCGAATCAGGACCGTGATCCAAATCAACAAATCAAATCACTGTCCCCTGAATTGGGCCAAATCCAAGTCTGAACCGAATACAGCCCATTTTGGACTTCCCTACTCTTAACCCCTGGGCTGTCCGCACACTAACACCTGAAACTAGTTTTAAGCGCACTTTAGGCAGCTTAAAAGTTATGCCACTCCAGGGCAGGTTTCCCTCTGCTTTGTGTTACCCAGCTCACGTTCCATTAATGTGTAGTCACTCTCCACAGAGGAGCTGCCTATTCTGTGTGGACAAAGTTTCCACCCCCTGAATTTTACTGCCACAGGGGAGGCATGTTCTGACACCATGCCAACTCCTCCTCCTGCCCCCACATGCAAACAGCCTGCAGAGCACATGCCAACTAGCCAGATCACAGGGTACACACATCCAGGACTTGGCTCTGGGGGGATGGAGGAGGGGGAGAAAAAAAGGGAGGGGCCCAATTGGGTCCCCCATTAACTGGGGCTTCCCTAATGGGGCAGGGGCAGTAATTCCCTTTACAAGCACCTTCCCTCACCACTCCCTCCTCCCAGCCACGATGCATGACCAGCACCCGCACACTCAATCCCAAATCCCATTTAATTAAAACATAAGACCTTCTTTAATTTACTTGGTCTTTATGTCTTTAACAAGGTTTTTTACTTCTTTTTATTTTATCTTTCAGTAGCTGACTTCCTTCATTTTACCATCCTTCCCCCATCTCCATTTCCTTTCCACCCCCCCATTTCCTTATCCATTCCCAGCTTCATGTTCCTGCCCTCCCCCTCCTCCAGAGATGACCTGAACAAGGTGCAGGGCCTGGGGCAAATCAGCCTGTGAGGTGCCCCGTACCTGCATGCCCCAGATGCAAAGAAGCTGGTGGCAGATTCGGTGGCAGGGGGATGCCAAGCAGCTGGATGTGAAGCTGGTGGTGGTGGTGCTGAGTTGCTGCAGCTGCTCTGCCTGGCTCTGTGGGCCCCCCAAAGCATGGGGCAGGGGCAGTTGCCTTGATTGGCCCCCCCTAAGGACAGCCCTGCCCCCCAACCAATCTTTCACACACCTTCACCTAAAGCAGGGATAGAAACTTGTCCTGGTTCACCAGTCCTCTACTAGCAACTCACAGCTATAGCAGGGGAGATTAAGTCATTACAGGTTAAAAGTGTTAAACTTACAATGAATAGCCCTGCCACGTCCAAGTCACAGTATCCTATAGGGAAAAAAACAAAAGAAAACATGTGACATGACAAAAACAGAACAGACAAGATACAACTGCAGATATTAGGAATAAAATTTGGTGAAGTAGAGGCTGTTTTACAATCTTAAGGTTCTCTCCAACACATAGCACAGCACCACCCCAACAGAACTTGACTAGAATTCCTTAGCTTATTATATTATCACTGGGCGTGTCTACACATGCAAATGCTGCAGGGTGGGATTACTCTATAGTAGCTTACTCTACAGTAAATTCACCCCAGGAAATGCTGGGAGGCGGGAACAGATCTGCTACCCCTGCCTCCTCCAGCCCTGCAATGGCTCCCTGTAACAGCCAGGGGAAGCACTAGGCTTCAGCTGAGTGCCAGCTCAGAGACTGGCAGGGAGCATAGGGCCAGGAGACAGCTGTCTCTTGGCAGGAACTGGGAGATTGCTCCCTGCCCCCAGGAGCTGCCTGCTGCTGGGGCAGGCTCTGCCATTGGAGCCAGGGCAGAGACAATGTCCTCCTGTCCCAGCAACAGGGAGCTCCTGGCCTCAGCACCTCAATTGGGGGCAGGCAGCTTGGAAAGAGTAGCAGGGGAGGGGCAGGTCCAAGCCCCCTGCCCCAATGCACTGATGGGGCAACCAGCAGATCAGGGCAGTGGGCTAGGACCTGCCCCTCCCCTGCAGCTCTTTCTAAGTCCCACACCTTGATCACCACATTGGGGCACAGGGCTGGGACCTGTTCCCAGCCTCAGCTCCATGATTGTGGACTGGGGAGCCTGTCCCCAGCCCCTGCTCTGCAAATGAGGAGTGAGGCCGTGGAGCTCCCTGCTGCACGGGGACATTATCCATGCCTTAGCTCTGGTGGCAGAGCCTGTCCTGGCAGAAGACAGATTCCAAGGGCAGGAAGCAATCTCCCACAACCTGCTGCCCGGCCTGGCAGCAAGTTTGCTCACTGTTGGCTGTCTACACACTGTTGGCTGCCTTAAGGTGCAGTAACAAATCATAAGTAAATTTGCTACTTGTATTTACAGGTAGCAAATTTACCTACAATTACAGCAAATTACTGCACAGTAAGCATCTACATGTGTAGACAGTGACACTTAAGTGTGGATAAATTTGTTCTCATCTCGAGTAAAGCATCTCATGTAGACATACCCACTAACATCTGTATTTCCACAGTAATACCAAATATGACAAGTTTTGAAAAATATTTCAGTTCAAGCCAGAGTTAATTCATTTAGTTTTGTACTCACAGATATTTTACATGATTTAGAACAGGGGTGGGCAAAATACAGCCTGCAGGCTTGATCTGACCCACAAACTGATTTAATCTGGCCTGTGAGCAGGTACCTAACAATTGATTACATTAGGCCCATGGCTAGCCCTGCACTGCTCCACATGGGGCCGAACCCAAGCTGTGCTCCTACCCATGCCACGCTCCTGCCTGTGCCCGCCAATGGCCCCAGCCCCAGCCAATGTGCAGAGCTTCCTGTCCCTAGTGCCCTCCCTTATTCAGGGAGGCTTACAGTTCCCATGATGGGCTTAGGTCCATGCCCTTTTAAAGCACATCAAATAGGCCTGGTGGGGTGGCTCCTGGTGTGCCTACAGCTGCCCAGTTACTGTTTGCCTCCTCCTGCCTCCAGCAGCTCCTCCACCTGCCCCTGCTGCAGTGCTCCAGGCATGAGGTAGCATGGGGAAATGGTGGCAGCTGTGGGGATGCATGCTGTGCACCACACACCCAGCCAGGCAGGGGGGAAGCTGAAGCCAAGTGGCTCCTGCCCTAGTGTGTGGGGCTCCAGGTCCCAGCCACCCTCTACCCACTCTACCTGTCTGGTGTGATAAGCAGCCACCTGCAGGTGGCCAAGTAGTACCTGCAGCAAAGCCAAACAGTACTCAGGCAGCTGCAGCCCCTCTATGAAGCTGTGTACTCTGGCCAGGGTTAGAGCTGTTGGTGGGTAAAGGCTGCCCTCGGTGGAAGCAGTGAGGGCTGAGACCCATGTGGAGCACTGCAGGGCAGCCGCTGGCCAGATGGAGTGGGGAAGGGGGCAGACCACACCTATACCACACTGCCTGGGCAAGCTCTGCTGTATGTGCCCCCTGCCCCCCCTCCCCCAACTCCCGGCCAGCTCTTGGGGCCTAGTGCATGGGCAGCCTCTCACCTACATCCATCCCCAACAATATAAACAACAGTAAGACTTTATTTTGAGCTATTATGCAATCACCTCTATATGCACTATACAGAAACACATACATCCAGGAGAGAAATTATTTTCTGAAATAAAATTAAAGTACATTATAGTAGATGTTTGCTTTTTAGCATATGATTTTTTTTAATCTATAATTTGTTAAAATGATATTTTCTGAAAGACTGTGCGTGTGCAGCCCTAAATACCTCACCAAAACTCATCAAGCAGCCTGTTGGTCAAAATAATTGCCCAACTGTGATTTAGGCTGTATTCTAACTCCCATGAAGGTCAGTGGAAAAGTTTTACCTGGCCTGGGGACTGGCTCTTGTAGAGCTACAAAAAAGTAAGTGTACAGCTGTACAAGCTGTCATTAGTGCTACAAAGACACTTTAAGGGCTACAAAATAGTAACACTTTCAAAAAGTAACTTGGCAGTATCCCAGTGTTTCAAGACCACTCCCCCCCAAAGGGCCAACAGAATCTGGTCTGAAGTAACTTCAGCATATATTTGTCCTTATTTTAAAAGATATATTAGTTCCTGTTAAATGTGATACTGCAGATCTCTTAGCCACGATAAGAAAGCAGTCTTAAAGCTGAAGTTATGCAATACCAATCCCTTTTAAATCGCTTGCTTCAGCTTTTAAATGCTTTTGTAGGTTAAACTTTCCCAAAAAGGCAGTAGGAGGAAGGATATCTTGTACTCCTTTAAGACTGGAAAGGACTTCTTTAAAAATAAATAAAGCCAATTCTGCTTGTTTTTATCTTAGAAATTTTAGGAATGTGAAGTCTGATATTTTCTGGTTTTGTTGAAGGATCAGCAGGAGGCAGCAAGGATATTTATCATGAGCTCTTATCACCTTAATTGATGGAATGTGGGTGTTGGATTTTAAACCAAAGCTCCATTTATTTAAACATGTATCAGAAGTCTATCATCACATACTTGAGCTCTCCAGTCATCATTGAGTCTAGACATTGACAGGCTTGTTCACGAACAAGCAGGAAAATTAAAAGAAATAATCCAACCACCACTTTCAGGACTTCTTTCATACAGTACAACATAATCTAGAGGCATCAGGCCATATTTCTCCCCCAAAAATAAATGCACAGGGGATAATCAGGTCAAATTAATTATATTTTTTTAAATAGTTGCTGGCGATGGTTCCTTTCTTTCTACTATTACATTCACTCTGACAATGAGTATAAGGGACAGATGGTCCGAGTAAAGTCAAAATGGGTGTATTTACTCAAGTTCTTATAAATAAAGACTAATGAGTAGGGCATGCATTTAAATTTTGCCTTTGCAAATCTAAGGTATGCTAAAGTACTTCAATTTAGCAATCGCATTTCTTAGTACTTTTAAAAACATCTGAATGATTTACTGTATTGACATTCTGTAAATAACTTTGAAAATTTGTACCATAGTTTCAACGTTTCATACTACTGCCTGCTTAAGCCACTTCTTATATCTTTAGCTTCTTCTCAGTCATTAGTGCAAGGTCTGCTGTTTTTGATGTCCTTTTCTCTTTGAGAATTATTTTTTTAAGTTTAAATCTTTAATAATAGTCACCTCTATCCATAGATTTAAAAACACTTTACAAAATCATAACTGCTATTCTCATTACACTTCTGGGCAGGCAGAACTTAGGAAAGATACTATTATAACACAAGGTCAGCAGTATGACAGTGGTAGAAGCAGATACAGAACAGCCATTTCAGTTATCCCATCCTGTACCCAATGGACACACTGCTTCCATATATAACGTTTTCTGTCGTTCAGCGTAGTTTTAAAAAGCTGGTTATGAAGGTGTCTCTAGACTCAGATTATAGTCTAACAAGATTCTGGTCTACTACTATACCAATATGACATTAATGACTAAATGAACAGCCTAGACTGGGGTGGGCAATTATTTTGGGCAGAGGGCCACTTACTGAGTTTTGGCAAGCCATCAAGGGCCGCATGACAGGCAGCCCAAGGCAGATAAATATTAATTTTCTAAATTTGTAGGGGCCCTGTGGGCCAGACAGAATGGCCAGGCAGGCTGCATCTGGCCCCCGGGCCGCATTTTTCCCCACCCCTGGCATAGACAGTACCAATTTTTTGTACTTAAAGAACACCTTAAAAGACTCTCTAACTGGAAAAAACAGGAAGCTGCAGCAAGAAGAACCACCAACAACCTGCGTTTTATTTTTAGCCTTCGGATTGAGACAGTAGGAAGTGGGGGTATTGGACAGATTGGTTTTTGTAACTGTATGGTCCCCCTAAAGTAATCCCTGAAAAATTTTAATTATCCTGAAATTAACCTAACTTAATTTGTCATCTGCAAAGTTAGTCTGGGTTCTTCTATCTCTTACATGATGAGTGAGTATTTACTAAAGATGCAACAATTAGAACACCAGGTCCACTGGAGCTTCCTGAATAGAAACCTGCTCTTATGCCTAAAGTCATACTGGTGCTGTAGGGTTAATAGGAATAGAAATGGAGTTTGGCCAAAACTAAATATATTTACAATGATGCATAATCAAACAAACTTTTTGTAATTACCTCCTGTTAAGTCCTAATACAATGCTGCTGTTTATTCAGCAAGTATAAACTCAGTGCAGCCTTTATTCAAGCTATCAGCTATGTGATTGGACTGGCAGCAATAGGGCAAACTTTAAAAATGCAAAATACAGTGCATTTCTATTCTACTCTTGTACAGCTTGGGGGAGAAGTTCAGAAGTAAAGCAAAAGAGTGAGTTTGCAATTAAAACACAAACTAGAAGTCAGAAGATCAAAGTTTTAATACCAGCTCTACTCTTCACCACCAGTATCCTCTTCCCTATGTTTCTCCACCTGTGCAACTGAGTTAATGTCTGTTCTACCTTCCTTACAGGTGTGCTGCAAAAGGAAATTCATTAGTATATGCCTTGCAATTCATTAGTAAAATACCTCAAGTTTCTTTGTTGCAGTGTAACCTAATTGCAAACCCCCAGATGTCCTTTCTATATGGCTACAAAAATGAACACATACAAATTGTTTTCTTTTTATTCTAGCCAAAATCCACTGCTGTGTTCCTTTTTGGGGTTCTCTCTTTATTAGTAGGCATGAAATGAAAAGGTGAGCTTGAAACATCAAGTTTTTTGGCTTAAACTTTTCTAACATTCTTTGCCATATTTGACCAAAATTTGTGAACAGTTATGTGATTATGGTATCTTACATTATTTTCAAAAAATATTTTTTCTGATTTAATTGGGCAGCATTAGTGGAGCATTTTTTTTCATGCAGGTAGAAAGAAAATTTAGTTTATTAGAATTATTCCAGGAGGTTAAATACACACACTATCACAATTATCAGTTACAGATGCATTTTCATGGGATGGAAACAGATGGACAATCCAGGACAATGAATCAGAACTGCCCAGAATTTAAGAAATGTATTGTGGGGGGCATGCACTCTGTATCTCTTATTTATCTTATGAATCCATTTCTGAAGATTTTTAATGGCTGCACAACATTAGCATGTAAAGTTACATAAACGCAATTTGACACAAAGCTTTAGGACCAGGGACAGGCATTTATTTCGGGTGGAGGGCTGCTTACTGAGTTTTGGCAAGCCATCAAGCATGACAGGCAGCCAGGGACAGATCAATCAATACTAATTTTCTAAGTTTTTTAGGGACCCTGTGAGCTGGATACACTGGTCTGGTGGGCCACATCCAGCCTGCAGGCTGCATTTTGTACTTAGCTTTAGGTTAAGTACAGACAATCAGAAAGCCCAAGGCTGAGATTGAATCAGTCTTTGCAGGTCAGTCTAAACTGCGTAGACTGAACCAATAAGCAACTAAATAGACATTCACTTTAGATTCAGGAAATGCAGCCACATGTCTGCAGTGGCCCAAGCCAGAAGGTGGTGGTTTGGGGGTGCTAGAGCACACCTCCCTGCTCAGCTGAAGCAGACAGTTTGGGCTAAGGCTAGCTCACTCACCTGAGAAGGGAGGTTTGGGGGAGAAGTGCAAAGCACCCTGGGATGCTGGGGAACTGTGAGTTAACTTGAGTCTGGAGGGGATCTGGGGCAGAAGTTCAACAGACCAATTTAACCTAGATCAGTTAAGTCCGATACTACATCCATCCAGGTTTATCTGAAACTGGCTTTGGCCATTTTACAAGCAGTTTATGTGCACTGAACTTCTGTTGTGTTACAGATCTGAACTGGTGTCTGATTACTTATACTGGTTTAAGTGTAATTTCTGTCCCTAGCCTTAGAGAACAGTGAGGCAGTGACTCTCTCTGCTAAGCCAATCAAATTAGAACATTTTATAAATGTGATACAATAATAAAAAACCCCAGAAATGTATTTTTGTGGAAAACTGAATTATGCTGGATACATGAAATAATTAGGGTTTGATTTTTCAGTTGTGTGCGACTAGGATTTGGAAAGTGTGTTAATGGTAGTTGGATGGTTGTTTTTCACAAGACACTAGAATACTACCACAGATTACTACTGAAAGCACAGCAGTCTGAATTGCTAAACAACATAGAATGCTTCAGGAAGCAAGAGAAGTACTTCGGGGGAGCAGTTAATACTAGAAGAAAGAACGAACAACTCAAGAAAAACAGAGGAAGAACCATGACAAACCTAGACTAAACACCAAGACAAAGAACAAGGGCAGCAAACATTTCAGATTTGGGAAACTGGTACTACTTTATAAAGAGAGTGTGCCATTGTACATAAGTGCTACTCACTTGCCTTTTCACATATTGCAAGAAAAACATAGCAAGCATGTATTTAAAGTAGGATTTCATTTCTTATGCCCCTTCTACTGTATTATATTACTATCATAAGTCAGCCTTTCAGGTGCAAATGTGGGCTGTATACACAAGTTCACATGATCTGGGAGAATTCTCCCTTTTTTGTCTCCTCGCTGGTAAAAAAAACTCATCCAGAGACCGTTAGACAGACATTCAAGTGACATGGTGCTGAGCACCCAAGGGCCCCTGTGCACGCATGTCAGCATGCTCTGCAAGCTCCCCAGTCTGCCTAGCAACAGATGACAGCGGTGCACAGGGCAGCCCTGATTGGATGACTCAGACTGCCTTTCAGGCTGTCTTTTCCTGCAGCACAATGTAAGGGCTGTGAGGGAGCTTTCTGCTTGGCTGGAGCAGTAGAGTCCAAGCCAAGTAACACACTGTTTCCTCGCACCTGTGGAGGAAGAGGGAGAAGTTGGGAGCAAAACACACTGGGAAACTAGACTATTGTACTGTAGCTTGTCAGAAGGTAAGTATATAGAAGTTGGATCTCCCAGGAGCTATTTAACTCTGGTTGTTCTCTTGGAATGGCTGTTCTTGCTTTGAAAGAAAAATCCTGAATATCTGTACTCTTGTGATTTCTACCAGGAAAGCAGCAAGTCTCCTAGTAGAAACAGAATGTCTGTTTAGAAACAGAATGTCTGACTTTGGTTGAGCTTTGGGAAAGAAGTCTAAGTCATCTTTCTGTCTAAACCCATTACACTAATAGTATTCCTGTAAATCCTGGCACACCCCGACTATACGGAGGAGGAGGGGGAACAAATACTGCACATCTCACTGAGGTAGAGGATATTTTTGTATCAGTAGGGAATCCTTGGCTACCCCTTTAGGTCAAAGCAACTGGGCCCATTAGGTATAGATTTAAAATGGATAACAGCAGAATCCCTAGTGATAAAGAGTCAGAGCACCTATGTGTAGATATATATATATTTTTTTTTTATTATTTCCAGAGGTGTAAGCTTCTGAAGAATTATCTACTTACCATCCTATTTGGGTATCGGAGCAGCACTGGTTGCACAGGAACTCCTGGAATGAAGGCACCTGAAACCATAAATCACTCTTTAAAATATAAATATATGACTGGGAAATATTAATTGATTAAGGCAATGGGGAGCTGTAGCTGTGGGAGAGAAAAACAAATGGTACAATCATGAACCCAACCAACTAAAAAAAGAACCCGAAAACTGAGCGCTATTTTTTTTTCTTTTTGAAGTAAAACAGGACAAGCGATATAAGAAAAACCCTTTCTTCAGTGTGGCTGAGCTCCAGAAAAGGGTTTAGAACAAAAGCGACTCCCTCAGATTTCTCAATTCCTTTCAAAATTGGTGATATTAAGCTCTTCAACTCATTACCTACAGTAGATCATACATTAGCTACTACAAGTATGTTTTTCCTTCCTGCAGTCGTGCATAACAGCACATATATACTATCTGTCTCTATCAGTTGTGGTACTTTGAAAGTATTTTCTCTTGCTGAATTGTGCAAATGTTAACTACTGCACTGTAGTTTTTTTATTTTGCTACAATTCACTTAGATGTACACATGTTATTACAGCTCTTTGGTCAACACTGACTAAATACGTAGCTTTAGGGACCATCACACTTTCTGAACTATTTCTAGGTATCACAATTTCTGAACTATTGTTCTCCCTCTGAATAAATGTCAGTCATTAAGAAAATACTATGGCCTAGCTATTCATATGACCCTTAAGCAGAATACCATAAAAGATGATTAGGCAAGATCTATTTCAGCTAAACAAGGGTTAGAAGCAAATCACCACCTTGTGGATTCCTGAACTGCCTTATGGAGGCACCTGAAAGGCCTGTAGAGCCTTCATGGGCAAGCAGCAGCAGAGACTGCTTTCTGACAGACAGTGCCATTTTAAAGCCTCTCTTCTGTCTGGCAAATAATCTGTTGTGCTAATCCCACTAAACACCAGACTGAGTAGATTTTATAAATCAGCTACTAAACCCTGTGCAGCAAAGATTTACATTGAAGTGTTAATATTAGATGTGAACAACTAACAGGTATAAATTGCACAAAAGGACTATCTGAATGCTCTCAGGATAAATGCAACTGTTAATTATCCTATATGGCACAATACAGTTCAGAGGTACTTCTACATTTGAACCAATAATAATTTAAATATTAGAGGTTTGCCAGATAAAACCTAAATGCTTCTCAAACTAAAGGAATATGATTGGGTGAAAATGAGTTTCTATAACGTTTTTATAAAACTTAGTATAATAGAAGAGGTTCTATAGTTAATTTTTAATTCTCAATGAAGAATCTTTATATAAAATTAGTGGACATCCTTTAGTCCTTCATGACCACAGCATAAGCTAGAAAGAAAGTGAAACAGATTAGTCCAACTTCAGTCTGCAAGCTTCTGGAAACTGAAAAAGTGAATCAACTGCAAGCAACATAAAATTAAATAGACTGTTTCAAACTACTGTAATGCAAATAATCTAAAATGTTACAAGTAAATACCCTAGTTATGAAAATCTGGATTTTTAGAAGAGTTAATAACTGGATGGGTCCATCATAGATGATAGGTAAATAAATGACACCCCACTCCAAATGAACTGACTTTTCAAAACACGTGTCACTCTTGCCCATGATATTTTAACAACAAGCATACAACAAAATAACTCTCACCTTGTTTAAAGGTGATGAGGCAAGAACGATTTGTACAGGTGCCTTCTGGGAAAATCAGGATCTTGGATAAGGAAAAAATGTATGTAAGTTTATAGCTGGGATATACTTTAGCATTGGCAGTTACATAGTCTGAATTCTCATTCAGATCCTTTGATCTGTTGATGAGCCTTTATACTGTACCACAAGGTTATCACTTTGTCATCCAGGAAGTGATTTGATTCGTCTGGATTTGGAAACAAATACCTTGTAAGAGAGCGAATTTGGGAAATGGCCTTTGTCAACTCTGAGATACAGTACAAAAGACTTCCAATGCTTCCCTTGAAATATCTCCTGTTGGTATTAATATGAAATTTTTCCTACCTCCTTACAGAATTGTAAACTGTATAAACAGAGATTTGGACTGACATCAAGTACATATAAGACAACACTCAAGCACTAACAGATACAGATGCTATCAACATGAACCTAGATGCCAACTGTGATGAGATGATCATGGGTGAAGGGGAAGCAGCAAAAGACAGACTCAAAGTGGGTGCATTGATGAACCAGACACACCAAATACCCAGGAGGTTTTAGAATGATCTTCTAAAAGCAATCAGCAGGAGTTACAATATGACACACTGCAAACTCCTTATGGACTGCAGGGCACTCCAGCAACGGTGCCCTTTCAGAATGCTGAAGCAGGGCAAGGACAAATGACTTGGGAAAAGTATTGTTGTAACAACTCTTTAAGAGCTGCTCTTGCTCCACCTTCTACAGGCAATTGATGCAATAAAAGAGTATATGCTCTAATAACTGCTGGCTTTAGGAACAGCCCCTTGGAGAGGCAGGCAGGTGCATAAAAGTTAAAGCAACTCTGAGACTCTTTTAATTAATGATCTAGGGACAGCAGCAGACACAAAAGGTGGTATATACACAACCATTCTGGTACCAAGAGACATACAACCAGAATGTGGTTGTATAGGCACAAAAAACAACTCAAAGGATCAGGGGCTGATACCTGAAGAAAGAATTCCACAATCTCATAGGTAAAACCTAGTCAGCCATTCTCTAGACCAAGATAGCTGCCCTTTGAGAAACAAATAAAAACATGTGACAGGAGCCCCGAGTGCTCCTAAGCACTTAGTGGAGGTTGAACAAGTGATAACCAACATATGCCTCACGTGTGTTGCAGCCTGTTTGTGGAAGCAACAGGACCCTGGTGCTGCTGAGAGAGAGTGCTGAGCACTGGCCTGTTCAGTATGCTCTGTTTTAGGGAAAAGAGTGGGGAAATCTACTGGCTCTTTCCTTTCTGTTGTATACTTTTAATGCTGGCAGTACTTTCCCGCCAGGCATTAAGAAAGTCTAAGTAAGTATAACCTTTCCCGT